TTGGTTCGCCACACTTATCAAAATACGTTTGATGATACCTTAGAAAAGATGACTATCAATTTACTCATGGTTGAACTGAGCGACTCCGATTGGACAGACCAAAGACTCTTGCCGACACATTAGCTCGAGCGTTGGAATATACTGTTGTCAAATAGAGGCAAGGTATGGGTGCTAAACGAAAAGCCAGATGGATTGAATGATAATAAGCTTGAAGAGATTATGTGACGAGTAGTAAGTAACTTCAGGAAATTGGAACATGTAAGAAGCGTCTGTAAGTGAGAAGAAAGTGCTTAAGAACCCTGATCTAGTCAGGGTCTACGCGGAGGGGCAAACGTCGATATCGGAACAGCAACCTCCAGGTTTAGTTGCACCAACGAAAACGACTGATAGATCATACTGTAAGCCTTTCTCTGATGGGACTTATAAATAGATAGCAGTATAGTGGAGCAAACAGAACAATAATAAAATCTAAAATTATGACTAACCCTAGAGAGGGAGGGGTAGGACTAGTTCATGGCGAAAGTTAGATATATCAATCTCAATATTAGGCAAAACGTTTTTTTCACACTGTGTACTAGCTGCAGAAATAGGAGACACCGTAATGTGAACATTGTGTGAGCTTTTAGAGAAAAATGTTGACACTGAAAGAGGGAAGGCAATCCAACTAAGAAACGTCAAATAAGAGCATTACTCCGATAAGAGCGTATTTGTTTGAACTTGAAAACGGTAAGAAAGGGCGAACTAATTTAGAGATTTACGAGATAAACTGGTGGAGTACAACGGACTGCAGAGATTACTATTGACCATGAAGAATGAGGCCGAGAAAATTATACGTGATATGGGGATGCGGTAAGAGAATCATCAACTAGCATAAAAGAGTCGAGAAAAAGGATTGGTCAGCACTTTTTCGTGTGGACAGTTACCACAGTTACCAGTTGAATAAGATGACGAAGAAGGTTAGCTGACCCTTGCCGGGAATTGACGATACTACTGATGCACTTGCTGNCTATTGATAACGATATTTAAATAATGTTTTATATAACTTTCTCAATAATTTTATGTATTTTTCATTAGTTTTACCTTTGAATATTGTTTAAGAATGACTATATGAAAATTTACATGCCTAGAAATGTATAAAAATTGGCATATTTTTTAACTTTGAACCCCTATAACTTTTTATGGGGGTGAGACCGCCACGAACTTTTTATGGTACAGTGGTGGGGGAGACCTCCCCTTTCGATCCCCTCCATCCCCACCCCCTTCGGGGGTGGGGGCCATCGTCTAGACATTTACTTATTTTTTTTTAAAAAACTAAAAGCTGGGGGCCTCATTCAGCTTTGCCGCCCCGGCCCTCTGACGGGCTTAGTCAGCCACTGTAAATACAACTTAACAATTAGTGATGTTATTAACTATTTATACTATTTAGGATTTTGTCTGCATTGTGTTGTGATTATTTATATTCTTATACCTCAATATGTTGTATCAATTGCATTTAACAAAAAACCCATTTATTCCTTATTTAACATGACGAATGTGTACCCATTTTTTTAATTCCCTCATCTTCTTCAAGCAAATCAAGTACTGCTAAATCATTAGGCGAATAATTTTTAAACATCACAAAGAATACGTTCTAAGAAATATAGTGAGAATCAGCTTTATGAATCAGCCGTAGAGCCTTTTCACACGGGCGGCTAGTGGCGTCACTGTGGAATCATACAAGCGATTTTGTAAAGGTATAATGTGGTTTTTCCGTAGAAGAAGCTCTACTGATTTTTGCAGAACACGCGAACCTTAACATAATCTCATTATATATTATCAAACTACAAAGTAAAGCCCCTATAACACAAATTAGAATTGGAGAAAAGGATAAGTATAAAAAAGAAATAATGAATGCAACAATGCCACAAATAGAAGGATCTGATCAAAGCGAAATCATAATGCTAAAAAGATAAGTAGAAGTATTCAAGAAATGTTCTTCGCAACGAGCTAAACAACGTACTGAAAGATAAAAATGAGTTACTCTACGAACTAATTTACATTGAGAAAAATTGTATGCTGAAATAGTACAATATGTAATAAAAAAACTTTGTCATGCCCCGAGTGTGATAATTAAGCAAAGATTTCAGAATGTAATAGGTAGGATTTATGAAAGTGTGCTAGGCTGTATAAAAAATGATAGAGATTCTCAAATACAAGGAATGTTCAAGAAAAAAAATGACTATTATGGTTTAATATCCAAACAAAAGAGATATTAATGACATGGAAGAAATCTTCAAGCCAAAAATCGGGAAAGAAAAACTTGATTGAGAATTGAGAATACCACGTATGAAACTACTAGTCAGGGGCGCAACAAGGGGGGGCCCGGGCACCCACTCGATTTGGGTTGGGCACCCAGTCAATTCCAGTCGATTCAGATATTAACTCGGTTCAAACAGGTCAAGTTTGTAAATGAACAGCCGAAATGATCTTTTTTTTTAGTCATTTATATATATGAGAACTTTTTTGTTGGGTGAGTACCCAGTCAAATTGTAACGTTGTTGCGTCCCTGTATTGGGTGATTATACAAAAGAAGAACTGGAAAAGCGGAAAGTGTAAATATTTATAAGGCATCAGTCACGATACGCTACCGAAGTGCTGTTGAATTAGTGGCTGCCGCCCGTGTGAAAATCAGCATCAACAACAATGTTTCGCTACATGCTAGTGTCCGTGGTCGTCACAGTGGCGGCCACTTCAGCGGTCCGTGTGAAAAGGCCCTTAAAGGTAAGTCGATGCGACATTTACGGCATTTTTCGACAAGGCATAATTGTTCAAGGCACATGATATTTTTTGCTCTCAAAAAGTGTGTTTGAATACTTTTTACACCAATTTGGTTGAATAACGCAGAAGAGCGAAAGCCAGAATGTAATCGATAGTTTCTTAATTTAGTTAGTAAAAAATTGTAGTTATGATTGTACCAAAAGGCGAAACGACGGTGTTGGTTGTTGTATCGCTATAAGAACATGTTTAAGATGTTTTTCTCAAAATTTCATATGTTTTCGGTAATTGACCAGAAATGGGGCTTCAGACCAAAATTGCTTCAAAAATTTTTTCATCGATTTCCGGTCATTCTACATAATAGAGTTAGATATTAGAAGGTGAGAGAGACAGTTTTATACGACTTCATAAATAAATAAAAAAAATTTTTTTTTGAAAGATAATTTTTCAAAATTGCCCCAATTCTGGATAATTACCTGCATTGGTGACGTCATTGTGTGGATAGATAGATTTATTTATCTAATGTCGCTGTTTTCTTTTATTAAATTAAAATAAATTATTTTAGACTATTGTTACGTTGTTTTTACGTTTCTTCGTTTATTACCTTTGCGAAATTGGTTTCTCTTTTGTAAACGTTTGAGTGTCTAAAAATAGAAAACAAAAAACCCTAGAGAAACTCAGAGTATCGATTACGAATATAAAGTTTGGGCAGACTCTGTACTTTAAAACAGATATACTGATTATTAAATGCTTTAGAAATATGTTCATTTAAATCAATTTAAAAATAAAAATAAAAAAAAGAAATGTAAGACGTTTATTCTGGTAAAAATTCGTCTATTTTGAACTCTTACGTGCTGCGAAGCTACCTAAAGGAATACAGCACACGTTTTGGAAACCGTTAGTTTAACATGTAAAGAAATTTGGAGATATCTACCCAGATCTGCATTTTGGTAAAGTTTAACAAAGATTGAGAATTTTAGAAGGATTTTTTGTAGTGTTTTCCGTATGTTATTGTGAATTAATTTTTACTAGTACAGATAGCCTTAACCCTGGCAGTAGCCACAACTTTTCCTCATTAATTTGAGGTTATCTGTAGTGGTAAAAATTAATTCACTTTAATGAATTTTAACAAAAATTAAGAGAAATATCTAGATTTGAAATAATAGTTCTCTAGCCATCGTCACAAATCTTTACAAGGCTCCACTTCAAAACAGCCATAAGAAAATGCTAAAAAAATTATTGAGTCAATGAAATTGTTGACTTTGCAGTGGTGAGATAATTGCATATGAATATTAGTTGAAAAATTACACAATCCGCGTTGCTTGTGAAGCAGATTTGTTTTTTATTGTTAGTCTTTTAATTCATGAAAGGTACTTGTACATCGGAAACTATAAACGTCATATTGAAGAGATACATAGAAAATATGAAATTGTAATGAAAATGATTTATTTGTTGTGATGTCCAGTTTACGCGCGTATTTATCGGTTTACGTTTATGAAACGGTGTAGTTAAAATGTCGTACAAAAATAATATATTTACTTTTACTTTGCGACAAAGAAGGTCAGCATCAAAATAAAATTTATCGCGTTGCAAAATAAAACAAGGAAGATGTAATGTATAATTTTGGCACATATAGGTACCAGAGATTTACAGGCTATTTGGTTTTTGTACATCGTACAATAGCTTTTATAATACTGCATTTTTATGGTCGGTTTATGGGTGTTTCGTTTAAAATTTTTATATTCTTTTAATTACGCTATATACAAATTGCTTTAGTTTATTCAACTAGTTGTGCCTCTCCCTCTAGAAAGCGCTATTTGGTGTCACCGATTATATTATTGATTTTATTTATTACAGCGATAAACTGCCAATCGATGTCGGTTGACAGTCTTATCCTTTATAATATTTATAATATGCAAGCAACCATTTTCACATGTAAAGCTCATTATAATTCATCTAACACTGTACACAACAAGAATAATGGGTGTATAAGGTTTTCCAAATGGTTTTTGTGCATATTATAACCTCTATGAATTGTTTCCAACATTCTTCCTAATATACCTATCGTGTAAAACAATTTTAATAAACGATAAATAATAAATTAATACTATATATATGAAACACTTTGACATTTAATAGGGGTTAATATCAAATGCCAATGTGAAAATTCATTTTAATTCTTTCCCACTACAAACTACCTCAGGTTAATGAGGGAAAATTTGTTTCTGTTGTCACACCTTCGCCGGACCAATGCTCTGACCACTGCGGTTGTTGCTGTTGTCACCACTCGTAGCTTGCTGGTCAGAGGATTGGTGCGTAAAGCCAAAGGTTACGGGTTCGATTCCCGGCGAGGGTGTGACAACAGCAACAAATTTTTCCTTATTAAGCTGAGGAAGTTTGCAGTGGGAAAGATTTAAAATAAATTTTCACATTGGTATTAGATAATAAGTATTTGATACTTGTTCTTTTTCTATTATTTTGACTTTGATTCGTCTAACTATTACAAAGAATAGGTAAATCTAATGATTCCTTAAATTAGAGGCTAAAAATTCGACAAAAAAGAATCGTTGGATTTAGAGAAGGATAATAATAATTAATTTTTAACGTCTATGATGTTTAATTGACTTTTAATTCCCAATGTATAACTGATTGTAAAACAACCTGATCTTTATTTATTTCGATTTGTATGTATCAATGTATAAGATTTTAGGATTAGTTTAAAAAAGTAAATTGAAATAAATTTTGTCAATCGTAAATCGCATTCACATACTTTTTATTTTAATAAATATTTGTTTGCAAAAATTGCAATAGTTTTTGCCTGAGTGAAAAGTTTTTGAAATATGAATTAACATAAACTTACAATGACAAAAATATTTGCTTTTGTTTCCGTTCAATTAATTTACTTATTTATTTATAATGGGAATTTTTATTCATGTTCGTTGAACATACAGTTGTCTTTAATTTTACCGACTACCTTTCCTTTACTTACTTACTATTTCAAATTAAAATTCAAAAGCTTTTGAAGAAAAAAGTCGTGTAAGTACAATATCGATGGTCGGTTTCTAAAGAATAAATAAAAGTATGCTGGAGAATGTTGGAATCAGTCTAAACATCTACAGGAACTATCACATTTCCAGCACATTCATGAAATAATTTTCAATAATTATAATTTCGCAAACGTGCTTGGAAAGATCCTAAAGGTTTGCTTTTTGATATGTGTGGTAGTGAACAATTCAGTCGGTGACGTCCTCAAGGCTGGGCAGTGGCCCCGGTGGATCGCTAGGGGGGAGGCTAAGCAAATGTTAAGCTTCGAGGAATATTAAAGCCGTAGGCTTGGGTTCCAGGTTGCTTTTCTTTGCCTCAACCACCAGGAATTCGATGTCTTCTCGATCCCGCCTCGCAAACGATTCTGCGATGAGTCGAGCAACGTCTTGGTGCTGGAGTCCTTCCACTTTGGTGCCGTCCACTTGGAGGATGAGTTGGCCAACTTCGAGACCGCCAGAACAATACGCTGCTCCATTCTCCTTTAATAAAAGCAATTATGGAGCTTTTGAGCAGTAAATTAGATATTAAATTATTGAAGGATCTCGGAAGATCCTTTAAAATCTAATATTTTTAAATTATCTCTGGCATTTTCGCTAAAATAATTTTAAAATTAGGTATCTCTCGTAAAATAATGAAGGTTTCGAAAACATCTGATGCTGAAGGTATCATACTTTTAATAGTCATTTTGTTGTCGATCAAAAGTTTTAAAAGAAGAACATATTTTTTAGAAAACTGAAGGCAATACCGTTATTAACCAATTAGTTTGTTCGTTTTTCATAATTTTGTAATATATTTTTTTTGTAGTCACTTCACAGACAAAAATGAAACAAAATTAAAAAGAAAATTGGAAAAGTAGGAATAAATTTAATATTCTGTGAAACCCATTGGGCGGAATGATACAGGACGGAGCTTTTCAAATAAAATTAAAGAGTTTATATACTCAACTTTATTAATTCAGTGGCAGTAGCCAGCGACTTTGTCCGTCCATAATTATCATCATCTAATATTTGGACTTTCGAATAGAATTTTGACGCTACCGATTATAAAACGAGGTTATCAAATGATAAGTCACGATACCTCCTACTAATAGATAATAATAAGTAAATACTGTATCCGAAATTTTGGGGGAATGGCAGATAGAAGACTAGAAATAGAAATGGAAACTACACGAGGCGCGGGGATGCATAAAACCGGACTCATGACCGCGAGTTGTACCCGACAAGTCACTGCGTAATAAGTCAGTGCGCATCCGATTCGAAGCGCACCCAAAGAGCTTTTGTTTTTTTAATTGACAATACTGAAATTGATCCGCAGCGACGCCTGCGTTTTTTATCCTTTTACCTATATTCATAGCGCTTTTTAGACTTATTCGCTTTGGGTTAAATTTTCCTCATTCGTATCAGAATCTAACATTGACTTGTCCTTGCACCATGTGTTATTCTAACTGACGACTCACATCATAATGTGCAAAAGTGGCCAAAACAAAAGGTAACACAGGAAACAAACAAAATAGCTCAAACCCCAACGCCAAAATACGACACTGTAGATGTCCGAAGCACTTTTCGATAACAAGGTTACCTTCTTCAGGGACTGAAGTGAACTCAGTTCCACATTAAAGTGTCGTGTTTTGGCGTTGGGGTTTGAGCTATTTTGTTTGTTCTACAACAACCGCCAAAGTTTTTCCAGTGTTCATATAACACAGGAAACAACAAGGGCTTAATCAATAGAGAACGGCTTAATGTTAAATTTTCCGAAAATGCTAACAGGAAACAAAAAATATGGTCATATACAACTAAAATTCTAAGAAACCTAGCCTTTTTGTCAAATGGATCCGCGATGTCTGGGATACTCTAAAAAATTCCTAAAGTCGAAAAAAATGTTTTCTTTGCAAATAAAAAATGATTAAACCATGTTAAAACATATTCTAGTTTTAGGGAAATGCGAAGATTAACTCAGGATAGGAAAAAGTGAATATACGTGACCATCCGGTCTTAGGATTGACAACCTTACGATGATGATGAATTTAATTTTTTAGTCTTCTTATATTATATACATAGTTTAATGCCTCGTTGAATTAAGCGTGGAGAGTAGATGAAACTTCTCAAAAATAAATGATACATTATATTAAAAAGCATAAATGTGAAGGGAGGACCAACTTCGGTATAAACGACTTTCATGATTGTCGGTATTGCCGATAGAGGAGTTGAGATCTGGGACAGGTGCAAGTTCCGTACAAGGTGTAATAGAATTTCGTTCCCTGATATTGAAGGTATAGTTTCGCAAGTTTTGATAATCAATAGATTACGTTTAACGTGATAAATATAAAATATGCCAAGTTATACATTCAAGATAACCTAATTCGATTAGATCAAGTATGGAACTTGCATCCGTTCAGATCTAAACCCCTCTATCGGCAAGGCTGACAACTTCGCAGTTTCTATCCAACATGGTCTCTTTTTCACATTTACATTTTTGTTACGATTACTTTCATGTAATACATGATTCACTTACTTACATTAATATTTATTATTCTTGGAAGTGGATGTTTTGTATTTGCTCCACCTTCGATCGCTATGCCAAGAATGGGTTTCGTTTTCTTAACAATAACTCGAAGATTACCCTCCTCATCGGGAGTTACGTTCGATCTATCTCTGGCTTCTTCTTCACCCCTGGCTAACCTTTGAACGGACTGATGTCTTCTCATACCATCTTCACTATCAGCACTTTGTCCATCCTTAATATCAAAACTACGCGACAGTTTATGAGCTAATTCCTGAAGAAAAAAATTTGGCGATTGATATATTAATAATAACATTGTAAAGCGAATTAAATGGAGAAAAATGTTTCTTTTTGTGGATATATAAAATATTGCATTTGAAAATTAATAATACAATATTAATCAAGCAAAACAAGCAAGACATAGAGATGAAAACCAGTTGAGAAAATCGAATGTATTGGGATACTCAGCAGGATTATTACACTTTAGAATGTAGACTACAAAATTTAATTAATTAATGTGAACCTCTTTTTCTTACATACTTCTAAATTATGTAGTTTATTAATTTGCATATAAAAATGGCGTACGTAGACAGTTGAGCAGAAACGAAAGGAAATTATTCAATAAAATCAGAAGTACCTTTATTTTTAATGATGTGGGTACTAAGTACTAGCAGATTAAACTGCTAATGGCGATACAGATTTAAAATAATGTACCACTACAGGATTCGATACTTTCAATGACGCGATAAAACGTATCGCAGGGGTAATGTTGGTCCCCAAATACTTGACGAAACCACTACACGGTGAATCTCTAGTTTGAACCTTTCCTAAATTTTATTTTTTTGGGTTTTCTTTCCTTTTTATTTAAATCTTCTGAATTAAATTTACTGCAATTTCAAATTTTCTTAAAATTGCAGTTTCTAAAATATGATGTAGTTTTGCTATTTTTATTTTATTTTCCAATTTAACCTTTCAAAAAGTATCTACTAATTATCTCATTTTATTCAATTCTGTAAGAGGAGAAGAAAATACAAACATTTTCATAGAAAATCATGCACTGTATGCTACACTACATATACGCATCCTAATTTTATTCAATTATTAAAATATTCACTGAATTAAATCGTTCTAGATATACTATATTTGACCAGTAATTGTCTTCAAGAAGCCTAAAAATGCTAAGAGCCAAAATGTGTATGAGTTTTTGTAATATAGAATTAGGAATAACATATAATTTAAGTTTGAGTTTTGACATTCTACAGCTTGAAATAAATTTATGTTCACATTCTTACTTCTCTCATTATGTTTTATGTTATGATACATTATTAATTTTTTAAAATTCAAACTTAAAGAATGTATTTTTAATCTATTCTAAAATTCATAGATATTTATAGACTAGAAAAAATCACAATAAGTACCATTTGTAAATTATTGATTGATATTAACAAAACCCTTATTCAGGGACATGGACATAATGCGATTAGCGTAACTAGCCACTGTGACAAAGTTAAAAATACGTTTATTTATCTATCATGATTTTCGTTCTGTTTACTGAGCAAACAATGAAAAGCGTGATGTACCGTATGTTTTAATTCCGTCATACATTTCTGTACCATAACTTATCTTTGCGGATTGCTTCAATAACATCCCCTTACTGGTTTGACGAAAATGCTTAGGATCATAAGGTTACGGTAGGAGAATAAAAATTCACATAGACCTATTAGAAATACGTAACATTTTACGAGATACATACTTCCGTAATCTTATGATTCTAAGTATGTCCGTCAAAACAGTGAGGATGCAACTGAACCGAAAAGAGTGCCGCAATGAGGTATGGTACCGAGATGTATAAAGGAAGTAAAATATTCGTACTGTACATGCTATCATAAAAAACTCAAATAGTGAGAATACAGATGGAGATGTTTAACCAACGTTTCGAGAACAGGTGTGGTTTCTACCATCGGGGAACGTAGCGAGCGCACAAAGTCCTTTAATTCTATCGGCGTTCTCGCCCAAGAATGAGAAACAACAACAAATCTTTAACCTTTTCAGGATCTTGTTTATCGACAATACGTAATGTTGCCAAAGGTTTCGTCAGCTGTGTAACGAAAGCCAGTCAAGTAGCTTTAAAATTAATTTATAATTTTTAATCAGAAATTAAAAATAACCATCTACCGCCATTACAAAACGGTATTATACATTAATTTTTTAGTATTTACCATCCAAAACCAGAGAAGTATTCAACTTACTTCCATAAGTACCTACAGGATTAAATTACTGCTTAGCATTTGGAAGAACACCGGTTAGATTCTGTGTGCATCTGCCCTGGTGCGTGCTTTTTCGTGGTTTTCCTGGAGCTTTCTACCATCCCGCTTTACACCACAGTGTAGGTCGGAGGGCTTGCTCATCTAGCAGCACTGTCTACCGGGAATGAAACGTCCTGTCCAGCTTATGATCGACTTTTTGTATCAAAACCGAATGCTATTCGTAACAGTACAGCACATAATATTTGTGAAAGCCTACCAGGAGGTTCAAGGAAGGTCTTGAGTAAAATGAAAATTCGAAGGGTTTAGAAGACAAATAAAATGAAAATAAAGAACAATTAAACAAAAAAAAAAGTCAGGGCAATCGACGAAAAACTGCCCGAAACGGAACATAAGCTTAAGGAAACAGATTAAGTGGAGAAGTTAGAAGAAAAGTTCCTAAAATTGACAACCAACCTTTGAAAAAGGGGGATAGCATGATCGATTAACATGAAGGAGGAGCATGCCCTTCTGTCAAATGTTTAGTTATCTACCTAAGTTCGACAGAAAGGCATCATAAGCCACTTTCTTAAAACAATTCAAGGTAGCCACAAAGACAAGAAAATTCTGCTACGCTTGCATTCACCTTACGTGCTAGTGCTGGAGAAATTTCAAATACAATTAATACCTACCACTGGAGGAATTACTGGACCACCAATAGCTAGTAAACGGGTAGGAAATGAGATAAAGTAAGACACTCATGACAACCGTTTATCATGTGTAAATAAAAAACCCGCGTCAAAAGATAGGAGAAAGCTTCTAAGAATTTAAGGCAGATATCGCACGATTGGTTCGCCACACTTATCAAAATACGTTTGATGATACCTTAGAAAAGATGACTATCAATTTACTCATGGTTGAACTGAGCGACTCCGATTGGACAGACCAAAGACTCTTGCCGACACATTAGCTCGAGCGTTGGAATATACTGTTGTCAAATAGAGGCAAGGTATGGGTGCTAAACGAAAAGCCAGATGGATTGAATGATAATAAGCTTGAAGAGATTATGTGACGAGTAGTAAGTAACTTCAGGAAATTGGAACATGTAAGAAGCGTCTGTAAGTGAGAAGAAAGTGCTTAAGAACCCTGATCTAGTCAGGGTCTACGCGGAGGGGCAAACGTCGATATCGGAACAGCAACCTCCAGGTTTAGTTGCACCAACGAAAACGACTGATAGATCATACTGTAAGCCTTTCTCTGATGGGACTTATAAATAGATAGCAGTATAGTGGAGCAAACAGAACAATAATAAAATCTAAAATTATGACTAACCCTAGAGAGGGAGGGGTAGGACTAGTTCATGGCGAAAGTTAGATATATCAATCTCAATATTAGGCAAAACGTTTTTTTCACACTGTGTACTAGCTGCAGAAATAGGAGACACCGTAATGTGAACATTGTGTGAGCTTTTAGAGAAAAATGTTGACACTGAAAGAGGGAAGGCAATCCAACTAAGAAACGTCAAATAAGAGCATTACTCCGATAAGAGCGTATTTGTTTGAACTTGAAAACGGTAAGAAAGGGCGAACTAATTTAGAGATTTACGAGATAAACTGGTGGAGTACAACGGACTGCAGAGATTACTATTGACCATGAAGAATGAGGCCGAGAAAATTATACGTGATATGGGGATGCGGTAAGAGAATCATCAACTAGCATAAAAGAGTCGAGAAAAAGGATTGGTCAGCACTTTTTCGTGTGGACAGTTACCACAGTTACCAGTTGAATAAGATGACGAAGAAGGTTAGCTGACCCTTGCCGGGAATTGACGATACTACTGATGCACTTGCTGGATCAACTGTATTTTTAATCTTAGCCCTTAATAACAGATCATCATCATAAGGTCGTCAGCCTTAAGACAGGTTGGATACGCATTTCCACTCTTTCCTATCCTGAGCTAATCTTCGCATTTTCCTAAAACTAGAATAACTCACACCCTTAATTACTTGCGAACAGTAATCTAATCTACGCCTACCTCTACCCCTCCTAACTCCTGTTTTGCCTCCAAGGTGTTCTACTAACCTGTCTCGCCTATTTCTTATTGACTTCCGTAGAGTCCTCTGTTCTCTTATTCTTTCTAATACCTCTTCATTTCTAACCTTCTCTATCCTAATCATTCGCCTGTAACACCACTTTTCGAACGTTTCTAACCTTTTTTTTCCACCGCTCCCACCGTCCATGTTTCGCACCAGGCAGTACCGCGCTCCAAACATACATCTGTAACAATATTTTTCGAATTTCTAAATTAACTGTTCACGAGCATAGAAGTGACTTCTTTTTATTGAAGGCGGTTCGACCCTGCGCTATCCTGTGCTTTATATCCCCACTACTCCTTCCGTCTTGACTTATCTGACTTCCTAGATACCTAAAATCAGTCACTTCTAATTTTTCGTCTCCTATTTTTATATTCGCTCTTTCCTTCCTTTCCTGAAGTAAACGAAAAGACGGCATTCTCCATAAGACATAAAATCGAAAAACTTCAGCGGTCACATGAAAAATTGGGAGAAAGTATTCCCAAGGCTTCTAGAAGTCAATCTCAAACTGAGTCCCAAGAAATGCTAGCTATTTCAAGAACCATTCTATTGATATGTAGTGACTTAATAGGACCCTATTATTGTATAAGATGACCTTCTGAAGCGACTAGTAGAAAGTCAGGATGACACTAAGGGTAGACGTCGTCAACTAATTGTATCGAAAAATTTCGTATATGAAGTCCTGCGGTACAAGCACGTAAATAATTTTGCTAGCTCAACTGTAAGAAACACGTGGATGAAACTGTGTTTCTGCACCTAGCAAAGAACCAGAAAAACGACAGTGCACTCCAAGTACATATATTATGTGGGCAACCCATTTAAAAAAAAAACCGTAGATCTCGCAGGAGTGCATTGTAGTGACAATGGATTATTTCACGAAATGGGTCGAAGTCTACGCCGTACCCAACCAGACTGGAGTAGCAGAAGAATTTGTTAGCCGAATCACAATACCGATGGAGCTCCATTTTGATCAGAGTAGGCTACTGGGCATCTCTGCATCCCCAGTCAGGCAGAATGATAGGGTGGACCAACAGGACCTTTAACAAGTATTTGTCCAAAATGCTTTCCAAACACCAAACCAACGGGATTCGTCATTTTTTTTTTTTTAATGACATACAGATCGTGAATTCATGAAAATACTTTAAAAGTATTGTTTGGTTAGGAGCTGCGAATACCCTACAATTCGAGTATTGGCCGAAGGAGACGTTGTTGGACATTATTATGTTAGTGGGTCCCGAAAGCAACTTCTCATATGCAGATCGTCAGTGAGCGTATCAAGGATAATCACGATATGGTGTGCCTGTGCAAGAGGTTTGGTCATCGTTTGGATAGTCTATATGAAATCATCGCATGAATTAACGATACCATATGCAGAATCGAGCGTGTACCAAATGGAAAACTGGATGTAGTTTATTTCGACCTTTTGATTCCATAAGCAAGTGATAATTACCATCATGCGTAGATCAGAGTTACGCAAAGTCGTTCTCTAGTACGAGCAATTCATGACTACATCGAGCTTATACTTGAAATCAAGTTTTGGAGTCACAGCTAAAAGACCACAACAATTGTTTGTTGTTCTGAAGGAGTACTTGTACTTGCTGGTTCATGCGGTCAAAGAATTGGTCTTTTAAAGTGGAGGTCAAAAAACGATTACATTTGCTGGATGGTAACCGATTTATCTACTTCTTCCTCACTTAAGAAGAATTGTCTGGGAGAAGGAAGAACGTCTGAAGAAGTTCGCCACTCGCGCTAGCGAAACTTTAAGAAGCAACTCCAAGTTAGACTGGAATCAGAACAGCATCAGTTCAACTGCTGGCCACAAACAATACAACATCACAATAGTGTTTATCGTATAAACGTCTCACTTTCATGATAGAACTGTATAGACCACTATCACGAGAGTACCTTTGTGAGAAAATTTTCGCCGTGAAGAGGAGGTAAGAGTTTTAGGCAAAATGTATCATG